GTACATTTATAAATACCAGGAACTTATTGCTTTAGGTTTGAATGTCACCTGCTGCTTTCGGCTTGCATGGTATCACATAACCAACTCCCATGAGCTCCACCTCATCTGCAAGTTTTGGAAATATGCCACTCTTGCTTACCAAACAGGATAACTGGTAAAGTCCCTTTGTGCATATTTAAGGCAGGTATTTATTTGCCTTGTTTTTCTTAGCAGTAGATGTGTTCAGTTTTATTTTTGTTTCCTGTTCGTGAGGCTTTCGTGTGAAATTAAAAAAGAAGATTGGTAGTCACTTGTCTGACTGCATTCCTGGGCATTTGGGTTTATTGTAGGTTCTTCCTTCTACTTCTCCATGCTATGAAACTCTGTCATCGTTACTGTAATCCAATTATTTTCTCGCTAGTGAGCTAATCAGCATCTGTGTGATTCAAATCTCAGTTTTCTCCTTTCGTCATTTCTAGGGATGGGTATTGTTTAGGTTTTATCCGATACCAGTACCAAACCGATACTTTTGAAACGGTGCCGGTGCTTAAACGGTGCTCGAACCGGTGCTTAAAGAATGGAGAACACAAAATTGGTCCAAAAACCTCTTATGTTCAGCTGTTGTTTTTTTTTTTGTAAAAAGATAACAATGTTAGCCTTTTCTGTAGCTATAGGGGATTTATGGCATCACTCTTGGTTGGAAGCAGTGCCTAAACAATGGGGAAAAAAAACCTCTCATGTTTAGCTGTTTTCCACTTTTTCTTTGGTCATTTTAGCCTTTTTTGCCAGGGTGAAGGGAGTATCTGCCATCAAACAAGAAGACAGCCGCATGTAACTACAACGGTGTTTGCTAGTTCACTTTACATGCGTTAATTTAATAACGTGGTTAGCCCACTCAATGTAAATTACACACGAACAACATTAAGCTACTCAAGCAGAGAAGAACGGCTGGTGCTGCCATCATCATCTGTCATCATTTCTGCACTGCAGGGCATTTCTGCATTTCTACACTGGCAGGGCTAGGGGCCAGGACTCTACTCTTCAGGTTCTTGGGGGATGTCCAAGAACCCGCTCCAGGTCCAATAACAGGCACCACACCCACACTCGGTGCTCGGTCTTGCAGCAAGCTATCAAATACCATGCATTTCTTGGCTTTAAAACGTTGTGCCTCGCGAGGTGTTTCATCAGATTCGAGGCGTTACCTCCTTTGCACAGTATCACCCTAAAGCACTTGTTGCAGGCTGCTGAGTTTGCAGCTTTTGCTGTGAAGTACAGGCAGACTTTTGACCGCTTTGCCTTGGGCATTTTTAATCTGTAGCTCTGCTCTAAAACAACATACATACCTGGGCCCACCCACTATCCTCCGAAACGTAAAATGACTGGCTAGAATCCAAAGTGTTTGACATCTCAGGAAAAAAAAGCACCGAAATAAAGCACCAAAATGTGCGCTGCTTTTCTGTCTGGTTACTACCGTTTATGTCAGAACTGGTGCCATAATGGCACCGGATACCGGTATCTATCCCCAAGAACGAGTCTGACTTATTACCGGCTATAGGAACCAAGCTCTTGCAACAGTTGTATAGAGATCGAATGGCCCGTAGCAATGGGCCAGACACCCCATTCTCCTGTAGCACCTCCCACAGGACACCCCGAGGGACACGGTCGAATACCTTCTCCAAGTCAACAAAACACATGTAGACTGGTTAGGCAAACTCCCATGCGCCCTCAACTATCCTTGAGAGGATAAAGAGCTGCTCCAGTGTTCCGTGACCAGGACGAAAACCGCATTGTTCCTCCTGTATCTAAGGTTTGACTAACGGACAAACTCTCCTTTCCAGCACCCTGGCATAGACTTTCCCAGGGAGGCTGAGGTGTGTAATCCCCCTGTAGTTGGTACACACCCTCCGTTCCCCTTTCTTAAAAACGGGGACTGCCAGTCAAGGGGTTCCGCCCCTGATCTCCACGCAACATTGCAGAGGCATGTCAGCCAGGACAGCCCTACAACATCCAGAGCCTTCAGGAACTTGGGGCGGACCTCATCCACACTAGGGGCTCTGCCATCAAGGAGTTGTTTAACTACCTCAGTGACCTCACCCCCAGAAATTGGCGGATCATCCCCTTCATCCCCAAACTCTACTTCCTCCTCGGAAGACATGTCAGTGGGATTAAGGAGGTCCTCGAAGTATTCCTTCCACTGCCCAACAATTCTCTCAGTCAACGTCAACAGCGCTCTGCCAGCACTATACACAGTACAGGAAGAGCACCGCTTTCCCCTCCTGAGTTTGCCAGAATCTCTTCAAGGAAACTCCATCCACACTCGAGTTTTTCCTTCAGCCACTGTCCGAGCCGCATCCTGCTTGGCCTGTTGGTACCCGTCAGCTGCCTCCGAAGTCCCACAGGCTAACCAAGCCCGATAGGACTCCTTCTTCAGCCTGGTGGCTCCCTTCACCTCTGGTGTCCAGCGTTCAGTTCGGGGATTACCACCACGACAGGCACCAACCAGCTTGCAGCCGCAGCTCATTGCAGCAGCTTCGGCAATGGAGATGCTGAACATGGTCCATTCGGACTCAATGTCCTCAGTCTCCCTCAGAATGTTGTTGAAGCTGTGCCGGAGGTATGCGTTGAAGATCTCGTGGACTGGGGCCTCTGCTAGGCATTCCCAGCGCACGCTCACTATACGTTTAGGTGCATCGGGTCTTTCCAGCGTCCTCCCCCGCCACCTGATCCAACTCACCACTAGGTGATGATCAGTTGACAGCTCAGCCCCTCTCTTTACCCAAGTGTCGAGAACATATGGTAGCAGGTCTGGTGATACAATTACAAAATCAATCATCAACCTGCGGCCTAGAGCGTGCACTTATGGACACTCTTATGTTCGAAAAAGGTGCTCGTTATGGCCAAACTGTGATTTGCACAGAAGTCCAATAACAAAACACCACTCGAGTTCAGATTAGGGAGACCATTCCTCCCTATCACTCCCCTCCAGGTCTCACTGTCATTACCCACGTGAGCATTGAAGTCTCCCAGTAGGACAACAGAGTCTCCAGGCGGAGCACCTCCCAACATCCCACCCAGGGACTGTAAAAAGAATGGGTACTCTGAACTGCCACTCGGCGTATGAGCGCAGATGACAGTCAGGAGCCATTCCCCAACCTGAAGGCGAAGGGAACAAACCCTCTCATATACTGGGAAGCACCCCAACGTACAGGTAGCAAGCTGAGGGGATATTAAAATACCAGCAGCCCACCCCCCTCTCACCAGGGGCAACTCCAGACTGAGACAGAGTCCAGCCCCTCTTCAGTCCAGCCCCTCTTTTTTTTATTTATTTATTTATATTTATTTACATGTTTTTAATTTATTTATATTCTGTTTTTATTTCTTTCAATAAATAAAAATAAAATGTAATTTCCTATTAAAACTACAAACACATCAAAATCAGAGCATAGTCTTTATAGCACAATATTTGCTTGAGTGATGTTAAAATGCTCAACTTATTCAATTTGCTTTAACAATTTTGGGTGTAACCCACCTAAAATTGCCTCGTGAAAATTAACTGCTGTTCCCAAAGAATGTCAGCTAGGTGGTACTATGAGATTGTTTAGTACTTGTGAACTAGAGGTGATATATATAGAGAAGGAGAACAACGCTAAGGCTACGTATGGTGGTCAAAGCAAATCACTAAGAGTTCTCTTTCAAACATTTGTTTCGGCGTCTCACTATGGGGAACGCTCTCTCAGCATTATCCTCAGAAGCCTCTATATCATTACTCCAGCCAGCATTGGCTGGCAGTCGTGACGCTTGCGTCAGGGAGGGGCCACCCTCCTCCCTATAAAAGGGTGTGATGCAGCGTCACCCATGATTCAATTTCAATTTCCTCTTCTCGCTTCTTAGAAACCTCATCTCCCCTGACTGTGAACATGAGTGGTAGCTTAACTGTCCACGCGAGCAAGCTAACACCTTGGTCACCGGGCGCTAGCACGGTTCACGTTTTGAGTCGCCTGCTCTTCACCACAGAGCCAGGTCGGAGAGTGTGTTAGATGCCACCTAGCACAACAGCTAGCTGACCAAACTAACTGTCTTTGCTACACACAGTCACCAAGCCAAGTAGCACAAGCGCTAGCTGTCACACTAGCTAGGTCATACTAGCTCACCATAGCTACCCACCCGAGAGAAGAAAAAAAGATCAGCGTTAGCTGTCCAGCCATGCCAAGCTAGCTACACCAAGCTTCCTTAATATGGCAGACTGCAAACCGCTGCCAAGAATTTGCCCCTGTGGTTGCAAAATCTCAGGTTCAGATACACATGACACGTGTGTGATGTGCCTCGGGCTGCAACCCGCCCCTCTTTTCCTCGAATGCGTGGACGAGGTCACACGCTGCTGGGCAAAGCCATTTTCATCACCCAACCCTGTGCAGGGAGCGGCGGTGTTTGACTGCGCTGGAATGACAGAGAAGGGCATCTACCAAATTCCCACAGTGGAGAATCTGGTGGCTTCTCATCTCCACCCAAACCAGAAACTTTCCATGTCATCTAGTCCATTCCTGCCCTCCAAGGCCGAATGCCTGCAGTCCTCCCTGGCTGACAAGGCGTATAAATCAGTTGCCACCACTGTGAGGGGATTGAACGCCTCATCGCTCCTGCTAGCCTACTTGGCGGAGCTCCAGGACCAGACTGCTGCTACCCAGATGGTAGCGAGCTGTTGAAAGAGCTGGGCGTTGTTACGGACAAGTGTCTCCGCCTCACTGGAGCAGCAGTACAAGCAGCAGGCAGAGCTCTCAGCATCATCATCCTACAGGAGGGGGCAAGATGGCTGAACTTGTAGGGGCTTTCGGACAAATAAAAACGTGACATTCTGGATGAAAGCATCGACCCTGCTGGCCTTTTCGGGACCGCCGTTGCAGGGCGGGTTACGGTCCCGTCCTTTGCACATGCTGGCTCGCAGACTGATCATGTGGAGCAGCATCAATCTGTTGTCACTGAGAGCTACTCACATTCCAGGAGCTCTGAACTTGGGAGCAGACTTAATGTCCAGGGGAAACCCGCAGTACGGGGACTGGACCCTGCACCCACATGTGGTGACCCAAATCTGGACCCGCTTTGGCCAGCCACAGGTCGATCTGTTTGCCTCGAGGGAGAATGCTCAGTGTCCACTGTATTTCTCCCTGAGGGACCAGGAGACTCCGCTAGGGGTAGACACATTAGCTCACAATTGGCCACATGCTCTGCTTTATGCGTTCACAGGTCTTAATTTCTCCCACTCTAACCAGAGTGAGAGGGCTAACAATGATATTAATCGCCCCAAGGTGGACGAGGTCCCATTGGTTAGCAGAGATTATGCCTCTCTTGTGGAGCGAACCTTGGCCTCTCCTCTCCCTCTCCGACAAGAACTAGTCTTCCAGGCCAGGGGGGAGATTTTTCACCCTCAACCTGAGCGCCTCGCCCTGTGGGCTTGGCCCGTGAGAGGTTGAATCTGAGTACGGCAGGACTCCCCCGGGGTGTTATAGCCACTATTCAGAGTGCTAGAGCCCCCTCCACAAGATCATTGTATGAGAACAAGTGGAGGGTATTTGAGGAATGGTGTGGAAAGTCTCACACTCTCTCCTTTCAGTGCTCTGTGACAACAATTCTCTCCTTTCGCCAGATAAAAGAAAGGGCTTTTCCACAATTAAAGTATATCTAGCAGCCATTTCAGCCTGTCATGTGGGCTTTGTGGATGGTCCAGTGAGCCATCACCCAGTCTGCCGTTTCATGAAAGGGGAACGACGGCTTCACCTGGTGTCTAAACCTCTCGTTACCACGTGGGATTTATCCCTGGTGCTGATGGCAGTTTCAAAGCCACCATTTGAACCACTAAACCAGGTGGAAATAAAAATCATGTCTTTGAAGAATGCATTGCTCCTGGCTCTCGCATCTGCAAAGCGTATCAGTGATATTCATGCGCTGTCAATACACAAAGAGTGCACCCGATTTACGCGGGATAACTTTAGAGTCACACTCAGGCCAAATCCAGCCTTTGTGCCCAAAAATCCTTATCTCCAATGCACACCATTGGAGCTTGAAGCTTTTTGCTCTCCTCCTTTCTCCTACCCTGAACAGGAGCGCCTACATGCTCTCTGTCCAGTTAGGGCTTTATGTACCTATATACAGGGTGGGCCATTTATATGGATACACCGCAATAACATGGGAATGGCTGGTGATATTAAAGTCCTGTTTGTGGCAAATTAGTATATGTGAGGGGGCAAACTCCTCAAGATGGGTGGTGACCATGGTGGCCAATTAGAAGTCAGCCATCTTAGAGATACAACTTTTGTTTTTTCAATAGGAAGAGGGCCATGTGACACATCAAACTTATTGGTAATGTCACAAGAAAAACAATGATGTGCTTGGTTTCAATGTAACTTTATTCTTACATGCAAAGCTATATGTTGAAGGAAACCGTGACCTAGAACAAGCTGATGGCATAAGATGTAAGTACAACTCCTCCAGTTTCATATGCAAAAAAAATATTGTGCTACTTTACGGGGTTGCAGTTCTACAGGGGTTTAAAAATAGTTACGCATGCCGGTTTTAAACGGTTAAATTTGTATGATGTGGAAATTGTTTTAAGGTTCTTTGATTAATTTTATTATTGATTGCATTAAGCCATTATATACAAAGAGTGAGAGGTATTTGATCATTAGTGGTGATTAATTTGTTTTATACTATTCATGTGAAATGTGTTTACTGCCCCGTGCAGGTTGTTTTTTTTTTTTTGAAACTGAAACCCGCTTCACACCCTGGAGGGACGGGGCTGTGGCCCCCCCACACTCCCTAGCAGATCATTACATGGAGAAACCTTTGGAATGCAAGCATGCTGATCCACACAGGTATGCACACATGGGTATTCACAGACGCGGACTAAAGCTTTCTTGGCTGCTGCCTCAAAGCACACTGTGCGCTGTCTATCTTGCGTGCTGCACAATATCGTTTATTATTTAGTAAATATTGATATCTATGACTAGCTAGTTTATTGTGATGGTGCTTTGTTTTCTCTATTATTATGTTGCTCTTTGTTGTTTGCTGTCTCCTCTGTTTGTTTTTTTTGTTTGTTTTTTTTTTTTCTCCATACAGGTGACCCAGGAGTTCTTTTTTTTTTCTCTCTCTTCCCCCCCTTCTCACCGTCTCTTCTCCCCTTTGGTTTTCTTTCTTTCTCTCCCCCTCTTTCTCTCATTCATTCCCCCTGTCCTATTTATTAAAAAAAAAAAAAAAAAAAGACAAAGGATGAACTGAAGCTCTGCCATCACGTAATGTCGCATACTGCTGTTTCTGATGTCATTTAAAAAAAAAAAAAAAGAAACTGAAATCCAGGATTCAGGATCCCCAACTGCAATGCTGGAAGGTTTCCAGCCTACTTAGAAGTGACAACTGCTTTACTTCTTGACAGATAAGCTTATGAGCTCTCAAAACAATACACTACCTGGGTAGTACATTAACCCTTTAGAACCGGTAGGAGCGGACACGCTCCATTTTGCGTAACTATTTTTAAATCCCGGTAGCACTGCAACCACGTGAGCTAGCGCAATAATTTTTTTTGCATATGAAACGAGGAATTGTACTTACTTCTTATGCCATCAGCTTGTCCTCGGTCACAGTTTCCTTCCACATATAGCTTTGCAAAAACTGCATAAAAAGCGCTTGTAGCAACAAAAACATAATATTCCAGAAACACGCTTTGCCGATCCGATCAGCTGTTTGTAACACTTCCTACGTCCATTAGCACGAACTATCACATGACCGCATGACCTGCCCGAAACCGGAAGTGACGTCATTTTGCGGAAATGTAGTTTTTTACCATCGTGGCCTCATGAGCTTATACTTGTGTTTTTAAAAGTTATGTTTGACTTCAATGACTTCTGTGTCGTTTCTGGGATGCTTAGGACTCATATTGCACTGCTGGAAATAGTTTATTTTGATGCATATGCTGTTATTTTGCAAATTTGCACTATAATATATTTTTTCGTTTTTCCTGTAGTATATGAAAATTGGTGTATCTCAAAAATAAAACTATGAAAACACTCAAAATAAATTTCCTTTGGTGGGAAACTAGTTTGTGCAACTTTTTTGTATTTACAGTTTTGAGGGATAAGCCTCTTAAATTTCTCTAACTAGAAATATATGTTAAAAAAACAAAACGATTTAAATTTTTTGTAGTTTATTGCACTTTTTTGCAATTTATGTAATTACTATGCACTTAATGCAGACATATTATTAAAATTTGGGCTATAATGGTTGTATTGATGTATAGCAACTTGAAATGCTCCAAAAAATGGCTCCACAGCATGTAAAAATATAATATAAGCTCTGATGGACTTGGTTCTATGGTAGGTCTTAAAGGGTTAACACACTACACACATACTTCACACACTTGAACTGAAAAGACTGAAAAGAACTTTGAACTCTGAACTTTGGACTATGAAACTGAATACACGGACTGACAAATATGGACTATTGGAACTGTTGTGAACTGTTGAATGACCGTTTATGATTTTGTTTAAATAAATCTTAAATGTTCTTTAGCTGTGTGTTATTCGCTCCTTAGTCGATTCCTAGAGAACATAAGCTCAAGATCCTAACTTTCTCTACATGCTATAGTGGTAAAGTATTGTGTGTTACATAGATAAGGACTCCGAATTTCCCCTTGAGATTGAAAATGTGACTAACAAGAATGTAAAATGGCAGACTAGTTGCATTGAAAGGCCAGCACTGCATCATACTATATCATCATAGCCAGACCCTGTTTTGACTGACTCGAGCGATGGAAATGACGTTGACAGTTATTCTGACCACAGTACTACACCCTTGAAAGACAGCAAAGCTAAATTACGACCACAGATGACCCCTTACATCCCAGCCAGTCACCCATTCAGCTAAATCTCAGCCTTGTAGGGTTGTAAAACCAAAGACTACTCCAACCAGACTTCCAGTGGTGACAGACGAAGTAACTAACCCACCAGAGATACAGCGTATAGTAGTGGAACATGTAATCAGAAATGACTCTGTCGCAACACATAGCCAATCCAAATGGTTACGCTCATTCTCAGGCCATGTGTCAAAACCCCCAGGAGAAGTGGATTTTGAAACGTGGTGTTTACATGTTGAACTAATGTTCAGTGGTGGCACTCCAGTTGACATTCAGTGGAGGAAAATACTAGAGTCTAACCCATAGGTGTCAAACTCTGGCCCGTGGGCCAAATTTGGCCCGCAGCCTAATTACATTTGGCCCGCGAAGCCATACCAAATTACTATTAGAGCTGGCCTACTGGTATTATACAGCTAATATATATATATTGTTTAGTATTAAGCTTTGCTTGTTCCATATTCAGTTTTTCAGCAAAACGTGTTTGAGTACATAAGAAAAGATTCATTCTTATATCTGGAGGAATAAATATATTTCAATAAATATTAACGTTAGCCCGCTACTTTGTTTCAGTTTTGAATTTTGGCCCACTGTGTATTTGAGTTTGACACCCCTGGTCGAACCCAAATCCCACTGAGGAGTCCTTACCCTTAAATCTAACCTCTCTTCTTCCTATCCTGTCCTGCCTCTCATGTGTTACTTTTTAGGATCAAATAAGTTTGATGTTTGGAGGCACACAGTGATGCAATAATAACTCGGTACAAATGCATTAAAGCAAAAGTAGCCTGTTTTGAAAATGTAAAAAGTTGAAACTACAGATAATTGTTTAAAAAGTTAGGGAGTAAAAGTAAAAATTTAGTCAGAAAAATAAATACTAAAGTAAAGAAGAGATACCTGAAAATTGTACTTAAGTGCAGTAAAAATGTAAATAGAATTGTATTAGCTTTTGTGTGCATTTTATTTTTTTATTTTATATGTTTTATACACATTAAGTAACCTGTCAGTACACCATGTGGTTACATTGTCATGATTATGGTTAAATAAGCAGTGTTAAGGGTTCAATATTGAGGAAGGGTACAAGAGGTAATCGACGAATAACCACACTGATCCGGCCGGGTGAAGTCAAACGATGATTTTAATACACGCGTGGGAAGGTCACTCCGTACGCAGACAGCAATTGATCTTCGACTAATCAAAGCATAAGCAGATATTTTATACCATCAGGGCTTGAATTTAATGACGCCCCTTCAACGTCAGATACATTTCATACATGGGTCAGATCAAAACCACAATGACTTTTAACACAGTTTGAAAAGAACATTATCTCTGTCTTCATGGCAGATGTTTCCTGTCAACCTTTTTGACTAGCGCTTCTCCAAAACCGCAGACAATGTTTTGCAGTGAGCTAGCGCTTCTGCAAGCCCACAGTTACAAGCAAACATGATATGTCACGTTCTCACTTGGCACTCTGTGTCACCTCTCACCTACTAACGCTCACAGTCAAACAGAGGCCACTGTCAAATGTGTCACAGTTTACTAAAACTAAAGATATAATATAAACTGAATAAATGTTTTAACCAACTGATACTACTTAAAACTCAATACAAGAATATGAACATATAAAAGATAATAGAAATGACCTGATATAAGTGTTTTGTAAGCATGTATTGCAATTCCTTCTATGTTCTAGTTTCCCTCAGCATGTACCACCTGGACAGTCACGCCAGTGAAGCTTAAGACCCTTAATGAACCGAACATCAACTCAAAATAAGCACAGATATGCAATGTGTATAAAATAGCTATAACTGCTTCTGGAATACAAGGTTAATATGATAACAGTATGCATAAACATCTTAAGGCCATCTTAAAGCTATCTGTTACATTGTTAAAGCAACGATCATACTGCAGATTATATTGTACTGGTAAAATACTTTTGTTCATCCCCACAGCAGGAAAATCATTTAAAAATACAGATTTTGCTGGTCTTGGTCACTATGTCACTATGTCACTATGTGACCAAGACCAGCCTAGGCTGGTCAGTGCAGCCTAGGCGGAGTAGTCGAACGCAGATTCACTGAGCGCTCAACACAGACAGCATCGTCAGAAGGAAGAGCGCAGGGCAAGCTAGCGAGACAGAAGTTAAGCTCTCCTTGCAACATGGACCTCCCCCACCCTCATTCAGATCTGGCGTTTGGAATTATTTTGGTTTTCATGTGACGTATGACCCTGAAGGTAAGCGAGTCATGGACTAAAGTAAAACAGTATGTTGGATGTGCCACGCAATGCTCAATTACATGGGTGGGAACTAGTGTGTTAGCGCTAGCGCCGTCTAGCCCCATGCACGGGACGATCGGCGGTAGCTCGTTAACGGAGATTTGCCGTGTTGTGGCGTTAAGGTCATTTCAACGAGATTAACCTGAAAGCACTAGTGGGAACACAACGAATATGACTGCACATTTACGCCGACATCATCCTAGTGCAAAGACAAGTGGAAGCAGAAAAAAAAAACAAGCAAGCATGCTACTAACTTTAGCCGAGTCATTTAGACAGCTGTTAGCACATCCATCCATCCATCCATTCGCTTCGCTGTTTTTTTGCTTTCACTTTGCAATGACAGCACTGATCTGTGAGTGATGATAATTTGTGCACCAATTCCTCTGACATCGTCTATTAATTGGTACTTACTATGCAAACATGACAAGTGAAATCTCCGCAGCAAGCTTAAACATGTGAGAGGTTGATCGCGCAGAGAATCGCTGAGCTTATGTGAGTGCGTGTGTAAAAGCAGCAGGATTTATATTTGACTACGATGACCTTCACAGACAGATATATATTTTAGTTCTGCTGAGCCAAATAAGACAGGTCAGGGTGAAGAAGTGACAGCCAAAGAAAAGCTTACCACAAAACGGAGAAGTTATGACAAATCAGACTACAAGGCAAAAAGAAAGTGCAGCTTATGGTTTCATGGACAAAATAATTTCTGTGGCTGCAATATGACGAGCTAAATAACCAGGGCTGCACATAAGTGGTCCGCAGGTGCGCATTCGCTGTCAAAATAAAAAACACGCACAAGGGTTAGGGTTAAATTTAAAAACTGTACTTTGAGTTAAATATATATTTATAATTTTAATAAATGACAAATTAAAAAGGCATGAACATTTTTTTTGTATCGAAAAAATATCAAACCGTGACACCAAAGTATCGAACCGAACCGAACCGTGAATTTTGTGTATCGTTGCACCCCTACTATCTATCTATCTATCTATCTATCTATCTATATATATCTATATATATATAGATATATATAGATATATATATCTATATAGATATAGATATATCTATATATCATAATAATCTGACAATACTACCAACATGAGCTAATTGTTATTTACTAACTAATCTTGATATGACTGTTCAGCACAGAAATGAAGCCCAACAATCATGTTTTACAGTCCTGTGGTTTCAGCCTCAGATACTCAACTAATCAAAGTGATGTCATGACAAAAATGAATGACCAACAAAACATTTTTTCTCCTTCATTTCTGTCAAACAAAGCTGTATGAAACATTACTCGCGGTTAGTATCATGGTTGCTAGGCAACCTGAACAGAGCAACGAAGGCTAGACCGTCCCATTTCACACGCCTCTCACTTCCGCACTTCTCGTACTTATAGTACGTAGTACTTATAGTAGTACTACGTACTACTATAGTACTTATAGTACACACTACGCGTACGTAGTACGCGTAGTGTGTGTACATTGTGTCTCTTGGCTGTGTCTCTTGGCTGTGTCTCTGAATTGGGACACAGCCATGGTCTTCATTATTAACTCACATCAGCTGGCTTACAAGGAAAAACACCTTGCTTACTGGTTATAGTTCATGAGGTGGATTGGGTCATCTACTAATCATAAGGTTGGTAGCTTGATGGATGCACCACAAAGCAAATTTGGTTTAGTATCTTACCCAAGGATATTTGGCTGGAGGAGACTGGAGGAGCCAAGGCTCAAAGTGTGAATGTGTGTGAATGTTAGATGTAAAGCACTTATGTTGAAAAAGCATATGAATGAATGAGTGAATAGGGCAACTTGTATAAAGTGGTAGTCTATCAGCAGCAACCAGCCAACCTAGTGATATCACATTCTGGCATTAAATATAATCTAAAATATTGAAATTAATGCTTATATCAACACTTGTTTCTTAAATATAGCTTCAGACAATGTTATATCTATATCTAGACTTTTTTAAGATTAGGGCTCAACGGTGGAAGTTAGCCTTTATAAATGTGGTATTTTATGTTCACTTTAATTGTAAAACAATAAAGGTATGTAATATTTTTTAAAGTATAACAAATCTTAAAGTAAATATGAAAATCATCTTGTTCTTGTGTAACTGGAGATGTTAAGACTGTGCAGAGTCCGGTGATTCTGTACCAGATCTCTGTGCAGAGTCCGGTGATTCTGTAGCCAATTTCTGTGCAGAGTCTGGTGATTCTGTAGCCAATCTCTGTGCTGAGTCTGGTGATTCTGTAGCCAATCTCTGTGCTGAGTCCGGTGATTCTGTACCAGATCTCTGTGCAGAGTCCGGTGATTCTGTAGCCAATTTCTGTGCAGAGTCTGGTGATTCTGTAGCCAATCTCTGTGCTGAGTCCGGTGATTCTGTACCAGATCTCTGTGCTGAGTCCGGTGATTCTGTACCAGATCTCCCATTCAATTCTATGATGATGCTAGGAGCTGTTCAGTTTAAATATTTAATAATAAAAGGAACAGTATTAGTAAAATTATTTATTTAAACCCCAGAATGCATGGCAGATCAGAGAAAAATAACATTGTACTTACAAGGTGATGGATGGCTTTCTGAATTAAAAGGGAAAAACATCATTTAAGTTTTTGCCACTTTTTAAAAAATCTGACAATTAAACTTTATTTGTGTATTTCTCAAAAATAATGTAACTGAGTATTGCACTGCTGCTATCATTTGACTGGGAAAGTCTGCTCATTTCAATTTCTTACCTTTCTTTTTTTTGTAAGCAACAATTCCAATGGCAACAATGATGATCAAAACAAGAACAAAGGCTGCAATAATGATGGGCAACTCTGCACAATTTAAAAAAAAAAAAAAAACATGATAAAAGTGGCAGATGAAGCAAGTTAAAATAGAAATACATTCATTCTACAGTATTAATAATTACATATTTATTGTGAACATATTGTGCGTGTATGTGTATGTGTATATATACATATATGCATAGATAGATAATAGGGGTGCAACAATACACAAAATTCACGGTTCGGTTCGATGCTTTGGTATCACGGTTTGATATGTTTTCGATACAAAAAAATGTTCATGCCTTTTTAATTTGTCATTTATTTAAATTATAAATATATATTTTAACTCAAAAGTACAGTTTTTAAATTTAATGTTGCTGAAACAACAAAATAATAAAATAATAAATAAATCTATCTGATTGAGAAATCACTCATCTTTGGAAAAGAGAGTTTATTACAGAGAAATGGCTCTTTCCAAAATAAAAGATATACTATCCGCTTCTTCTGGGCTATATTCTCAGCAGCATATTAAACATATCAGGGCCCCATAAGGAGAATCATGTGCTAACGGCTGTCTAATGACTCGGGTAAAGTTTGTAGCATGCGTGCTTGTTGTTTTTGTCTGCTTCCACTTGTCTTTGCACTAGGATGATGTCGGCGTAAATGTGCAGTCATATTTGTTGTGTTCCCACTAGTGCTGTCAGCGTTAATCTCGTTAAAATGACATTAACGCCATAATGCGGCAAATCTCCGTTTACAAGTTACCGCGGATCGCCCCATGCGTGGGGCTGGACGGCGTCAACACGTTAACGAGCTAACTGCGCTAACGCAGTAGTTCCCACCAATTGTTTTACTTTTGTCCATGACGCGCTTACCATCAGGGTCATGCTTCACATGAAAACCAAGATAGTTCCAAACACCAGATCTGAATGAGGGTGGGGGAGGTTCAATTCCGGGTAGCATTGAGGCAGTTGCCATGTTGCAACGAGCTTAGCTTCTGTCTTGCTAGCTTGCACTGCACTCAGTGGATCTGCACTCGACAGTGCAGCCTAGGCGGAGTAGTCGAACGCAGATCCACTGAGCGCTCAACACAGACAGCATCGTCAGAAGAAAAGTTGATAAAATAAATTAAAAAAAATTTATTGTTCGATACATATTGATACGAGTATTGTTGCACCCCTAATAGATAGAAAGATAGATAGACAAATTTGTATAATTGAACAAGACTAATCAAATTTTTTTATCTCTCACCTGCATCAATATGTGTTTTGTTGTTCACCAAGTTCGTTTTGATAATTGTTTTATTCAGTTTGATGATGATGTCCTCGCTCACACCAGAGAGCTGAAACACACAGTCGTATCGCCTCCAGTCTTCAGGTGTGACTGATGAAATATTGAGATCAACACTCATCTGGAAGGTCTCATCATTGTTGGGGAGGATCTCTCCAGGATCCACACCTTCATGAATCTCCACTCCATCTTTCCTCCAGAAAGCAGCTCTGTCAGGGTAGAAACCTGTAGCATGGCAGCTGACTGGAGAGGAGGGAGTCTTCTGGAGGAGAGACATTGGGGGAAGAACTGGAGAGAGGGAGTATTGGAAAGAGATTGAGTGATAATGGATGGAAGTAAATATGAGATGAAAAATGGGGAAAGAAAGGAAAAAAGAAGAAAGATGAAGAAATTTAATTTGGCAATATTAAGAAAAATATATATTGTCAAGAGTAAAGCATGTGTAGTGTACATATTTGATGAAAAACAGCACAGTACCAGTAGGATATATGTGTGTCACACAGCGGAAATTTGTGTTTTATGTTTTATCAATCTGTGTATTGGTACATAGTGTTGATTTTATTTGCATGATTTTATAGTGATATTTATATTGCATGTTTGTTTATTGATATTTATACTGCATGGTTTTATCCTCATATTTATATTTGTGTTAATGTTGTACCATGTTCCTTTAACCCACTGTGGACTAAACAGTCAATTGTAGGCACCTGTGAGGTGGGGGCGTTCCCCAAGGTGGCCTATCAGCCGCCAGGTTGACCTGTTAAAGGGGATAGCGAGCGCAGAGACAAAGGAGAGAGGAGTGACGCACGAAGGGTGAGGAGGCGAAAAAGGAACGCGTGCAACCCCGCACGTGTGTGGAACGAACTGCTGCCTAGGGATGGGTATCGAAAACCGGTTCTTGTTGAGAACTGGTTCCCACTGTTTCAATTCCTTGGAATCGTTTGCCACTTTTAAAAACGATTCCCTTATCGATTCCAGTCGCCCCGAATGACGTCATCACGTTGAGTAGCGTCTTTTACCCAGTAGGAAACACGGCACTTGAGCGGCACAAACGCTCAAAAGTTTGGTTACACTTTATGAGAAAGGATGACAACAGGGCAACGTGCAATACTTGCAAAGTAGAGATTTCGTCAAAGGGAGGAAACACTACGAATATGCAAAAGCATTTGCTCAAAAAACACGCGATTGCTTTCAACGAAAGTCGTGTTTTTGATCCGCTCCGGACTAGCGAAGCTCAACCCAGCAGCAGCGATAGCGTTTCCACGTCCTCTCCCGTTAATACTGCAGGTAACTAATCAATTAGCGTTGCATATAATGTTAGCGAGATTTACCTTATTACAAAACCTGCTATTACTGTGCGTTGCATTTAGATAACCATGATGAGAGAGACAGAGTCTGGCTCAGATGCTGGCAGTTCTCGCTGCAGTCTACCGGTAGCGTCTCCTTTCAGGCCAGGATAGACGAATGTCACCGAGCAGTGTCTAAGTTTGTGGTCAAAGGCTTGCACCCATTTGCCACAGCAGATGCCCCCGATTTCACTTTGGTAAGTGAATGTGTTTAATTGTAGGCAGGACATTACTGGATATTCTTGTGTAATTGCTACAGAATAATTTATGTTAAACTTTGTTATTGCTACAGGAGAATATTTATTTTATTATTTTACATATACATTTTTTTTCCTGGGGACCCTGTGACACCCCATTGAAGAGCCGTAGGCTGTGGCTCTCTTAAGATCTCACTGTTGGGTTTGTAAGGCCATGTTACTCCTAAATTTCTATCTTGTTCAAAGAGAAGATATAAAACACAGTTCTAAGCTAATCGACTTTAGTGTTCTCCTTTTTAAAAAAAAAAAAAAGAATCGATAAGAGAATCGATAAAGAATCGAATCGTTAAACAGAATTGAAAATGGAATCGGAATCGTTAAAATCTTATCAATACCCATCCCTACTGCTGCCTGACTGTGGGGTGCCGCGAGTTGTTCGGCGATCTAGTCCTAACGGCAGGAACGGCAACAGTGGGTGGCGATGGCTGCAATGCACGACAGGGCAGGGATGCCCCTCTGCCTGCATCTGACAGTGAGACGAGGGAGGCCGTGTTCAGGTGTGGAGTGGGGCGGGACTGTGCGGCGACGCGCTGTCAGGAGGAGACAGGTCTGCGATAGGAGCCCCCTCCCTGGTCTGTTGCTGACGAGTTTTACCATACTGGAAGAGAAGTTCCTCTCCTGTCTCTTTCATATAAGGACCATTCGCCCATGTGTGGCTGGACTGTGGGATTATGGGACTATGGGAGAGTAATTTTAGTATATGGAAAACATGTTTTAGCTTTGTGTTTTTAGCGTTTAACCATTCCTGCCGGCAGGGTTTTTAGCGGGTTGCAACACTATTTTTATTGTATACGGGGAATTTTGTCTTGTATTTGTGACTCTGGCTGTGTTTTTTTTATTATGGAAATAAATGGTGTTTGAAGCCAGCTAAGTTTCTGTGCCCTGAGCGCTGACTCGCCCACTCCCCTTTTTCGCTTGTATGTATACCAGACGTGGTGGTGGTGGTGGTGAAGATTTAGGTCCACCAGTCTTAGCGGCTACATGTGTGGCTGGAAAAGTTTGAAATAAATCAAAGAATAAATTTAAAGAAAATCAATATGCAATTGAAAACTCTGAATTAGAGCCAAAGAGTCACCAGCTTTGCGGCAGCTGCATAAGGCTGTATTGTGCTATAATTTTACCATGGATTGTGTTCATGTAAATCTCTTTCAACCATGAACATTCATATAAATGTCATGTAAATAAATCAGCTTTTTTCTGGTTATTTGCACATTGTGGGTAAACCTCTGGTGTCATGAGAGTTATCAGAGTGATTTGGCCAGGTAAAAAGAGACTCACTTTTGTAACATGGAAAACTCTGACTTTCAACATATCTTCTACCTGTTTTGTTCAAGGAGCTGCTCCCATAATCCAAGAACATCTTCAATCTCTCTAGAAAAATTGTACCGAAGAGGTTTCCAAGGTAATTAATTAGATTTCTGTCACCATCCATTGTCTGTTTGACAATGTTAAACTCTGGTTTCAGTGGGATCCATGTCATTGTCTTTAGATCAAATTCCAAATAGCCTTCTCCATTGTAACCTAACTGTAAAAAACCTTTTACCTCTCCAGAGTTTTCATTCATTTCAGAGCCAATCATACACTGTAAAATGTGAACACCTGAAAAGAGAAGAAGAAACAAATATTACAATTATGTGTGTTAATTGTAGATCATGTGACACATTTCCATCCTCAAAGGTCTGCATTTTCATCATGATTCAAGTAAGATTCTGACAACCTTTATTGATTTCGCTAATGGAGCCTACTGTGGAGACTCGAATTGTGGATGATTTAAAACCAGCTCGGATGTGATTATTCAATATTAAAAGAAAAGATTAAACACTAGAGGTAAAGACTGTTTCAGCACAGAAGTCAGCTGATAGATACATAGACTACAAAGTGTAAGAACCTGAAAAAAGTTAAAAGGTTTGAAGACAATAACAAAACCTAGCTATTTTAAATATAAGACTAAGATTTAGAACAATTAAGTAATTACAACAAGTAAATATGTATGTTTTACATCAGGTTTCATGGTCTTAATTAAGAAGCACAAAATTAAGGCTGTAAATATTTTAAATTATAATTATTTTAATTAATTTTACATAAATCAGTTTTGTTTAGATACATCCATAATAATATGACATAATATATCAAAGAAAGTACTGCACCTCCACTTTGGTTTAACAGCTGCTTTAAATTAGAAATCGAGTTTTGGTAAATGCCTGGCTGATGCTCAAAACACTGTTGAGTGTACTCCCCCAGTGCGCCAGGGTTGTCATCAAGCATTTTTTTCACACCGTCCTGTCTTGGTTCTACTATCTTCTTGCTGGCGTCACAATAAAGCACCTCTGTGTCATCAACTTCTAAAACAAACATAAATTCTGCGATGTCTGGGTTTCCAGAGGTTCCAGTGCCAAAATACTTCAGCATATGGCTCACTGTAGGACAGACAGATGTTTAAGATGTTAGCAAATAACCAAATAAAACATGTAGAAAGATGTTTAGAAATATGACTGATTCATTGGGATACAGTAAAGGCAACAGAAGCGTCTGCAGCAGGCTGATGAAGTCTAATGAACAATAAAACTTAACAACAGACCATCTTGATCTTATTTTGGTAAAAATGTGTGGGGCCAACAATGTAAAACAGTCATAAAAACTTTTGAACAAGATTATTTGAGCCTATAATAATTGCATCAATAGCATGGTTGTTTTGAGCTTTAAATTATTTCTTTGAACTGTTCTTTTTCCAAGGTGGAACGATTGTATCAGTGAGAACTAATTTTTACATAATGCATTTCAATGGGAAGGTGTCACCATGTCACCTATTGAAAAGGGTGGGGATAGACAGAGATTTAACTCCCCCCGGCTTACCTTTCAGTACATTAGAGAGAGTGTACATCAACAACAACATCCAGTCTTTTATAGAGTGCTACAACAGAGTTTGTATGCTTTTGCTAATATCAGATCATCTTTATTTTTAATCACAGGCAAATCAAAATATGAATTTCAGCAATATGTTAATTGACAAATGTAGTTAAGTAGTGAAAAGGTCTAGACCTTGTCTGTGAGAATGTGCTAAAGACAAATCTTACTGATCTAGAATTACACTGCCAGGCAAAAGTTTGGACACTCCTTCTCATTGTCACGTGTGGAGAAAAATAAAGGAGGATCCAGTTGCAGGCACTCGTGGAAGTGTGAAGGAGGTTTATAGTAAGACAAAACAGAAGTTGAAAATGGCAAACAGAACTAAAGATAACCTGAACTGGGAAAACTAAACTACTAAACACAAACAAGAAGGAGGGTGCTCAGAGGCACATGACGGGAGAACCCATGGACGATGCACAGTAGATTCACAGACAGACCAGCGACTACAATATAAGAAGACATGACTTAAATACACACAGAAGAACACAGGGAGATTACACACAGGTGGGGAACACAGCTGGAAGTACTTAACGAGACGAGACAAGGGAGGCAAAACTGAATACACTCACATCAGACACGGATTTTCACTATAAAACAGGGAACAAGAAATCACTACACAAAGACGCAGACTAGAACCAGAACTGAACCTACACTAAACATGAGACACAAACCCTAAGAACTAATCCCTAAACACGAAAAAACAGAAACATAGATTATTATTAATAATAATAATAATAATAATAATAATAATAATAATAACCAACAAAGCAAATAAACCCAGTTGAGATGATTTGGGATGAGATGGACCATAGAGTGAAGGCAAAAGAACCAACAAGTGTTCAGCATCTCTGGGAACTCTTTCAAGACTGCTGGAAAACCGTTACAGGTGACAACCTCATGAAGCTCGAGAGAATGCTATGAGTATGCAAAGCAGTAATCAAAGCAAAGGGTGGCTATTTTGAAGTGTCTAAACTATAAAATGTATTTTGAGTTATTTCACACTTTTTTTACTACATAATTCCATATGTATTCATTCATAGTTTTGATGTCTTCAGTGAGAATCAACAAAGTAAATAGTCATGAAAATAAAGAAAAAACATGAGAAGATGTGTCCAAAATTTTGACTGGTATTCTACATGTAATGAATGAACCATTATGTGAAGTATATTCATATGTGACTGAATGTTCATATGTAATGGATTTTTCTATGTTGAGAGTAACACAGAAAAGAAGAAAATGTGATGAAGTGATTTTAAAGTTAAACTTTAAATAATGCATGTGTAAAAGTCAGATGACTTTATGTAAATGCTAGACAGGGGGAGAGAGAGGGGGAGGCAAATGTCCACTTGGCAGCATAGAAAAAGAGGGCACCCAGGAACATTCTTTGTTCTTCCCTTTGTGTTCTGTAAGATGAGCAGCTCAGATAATTGGCTCTCAGTTGGAAATTCCAGCAGAGAACTAAGTGGCCTGAACCACTGCTCAAACTGTGCACTTGCAAGTTGTTTTTAGTATTATTTATTTTTCACTTTTACTCTGCTCATTCTTTGCCATATTGGATTATTAACTCAGAAGGATTTAGACTCCATTGTTTTCCTGGTGGATTGCAACTTCCCAAGATTTCCATTGTTTTCAGTGTGGGTTATAACTTTGAGAAGGTGTGGATTTCCAGGATTAAATGTCCAATGGATGCTGCTTTCCTGTTGGACTATTATTATCAACTCTGAATACAGAGATAAACACAACTGTAGACCAGGATATTCTCCAACCTCTCTTCCCCCAAACAAAAGTACTGTTTTATTTCCTCCTTGAGCAGAGTCGGTTTTTATTGAGATATTTTAATGAATTTACAGCGCAGTGTGCATCTCTCTCTCCTGATATGAGTGAATGGAGATCCACTATATCCCAGTAGTCATTCCAATAGGAAAACATTGATTTGATTACACCTTGAATTGCAGTGTTTAAGTGATTGGATGGTCTATATTAGGCTTCACAAACAGCAAAAAAAAATGAGAAAGGGTTTTTGTTTTGTTTTGTTTTTTTACACATGCACTAAATAGAAACAGTAGTGTCAAAAACATTAATTCAGTAATTATAAATCATTAGGAGACCTTACTTGAATCTCCTATGGAAACTGTGATTCTTGTAAATCCTTGAGAAGGGCTATAATCTCCTTTGTCTACAATTGCGCATTATTATTTATTATTGAAAAATCACCACAGCAGCTAGCAGTATCTGAGTTGGCAGAGTTTTATGCCAGATGTTCAAGTAATTCTCCAGCTGAAATTGAACCAGCAACCGGTTCACATTCTTTTGATGGTTGACAAGCGAAAACTTCACCAGTTTTGGGTATCTTTAATCTTTTAATTATAATTATATTGTATAATTATAAATGCTCTAACATGTACATATCTGTTTTAAAGGTTCTGTGTGTTTAGCTTAAGTAGTTATTGAAGTGTCTCTTACTGCTTTCTTTCACTAAATCTAATACACACAACTATCAGAGCAGTGCATTTATTTGTCACATCTGTTGTAAATACGTTTTTAATCTTTTTAACTTGTACAGTTAGATTCACCTGTCTGCTGACACATTTTAGTTGCATTTTCCTAAGAATAGCATTGCCAAGTAAATTATTATATATTTTGATTGTGGATCCCAATCTTACCTGCAGATGCAGCGTGACAAAGGAGGAACAGGATCATTAGCTTCGCCACCATGTTCAGTGTGTTGGAGTTAAACTGAAGAACGAACAAGAGTCATTTGGTTTTACAGGCTTGTTCAGTTTGAAGGTATTTCCTGGTTCAGGTTGCGTTTTCAGGTATGTTCAACTTTAGCTGAAACCAAACACAACTTTAACTCTTACATATACTATTTAAATTTGACTTCAGTCTTTTGTTTTATTACAGAGGCATAAAACTTGTTTTTGTAAAATGTCTGTTACCTGTTCCTGCCTGTGTGTGCCTGCATTTGTGTAAAATGGGTGGGGGAAAGGGATTTGTTCATTTTATATGTCCTGCGGCAGAGTGAACACCTCCTCTGCACTGTAAAATACGGAGCCCCTCTGATGACATGGTACAAAAAATAAATAAATTGTGGCCACAAAATACTACTTCGAGGGCACGAAATAGGTATAACGTGCCCACGAAATGCTAATTTGTGGCCACGAAATACTTATTTGTGGCCACGAATTGGGTATAACGTGGCAACGAATTACGCATTTGTGGCCACGAAATAGATACGTGCGCACATTGATAGAATTCCTGGACAGCTGCGTAGAGACACAAGCATAAAAGTAGGCTAAATACACCATGGACAGAGACAGTCTGATTGAGTTTTATTTCAGGCTGGGAATGAGCTACAAATGCATTTTGAAAAGCCTGGCAATGCAAGGAACCATCATTACGGAGAGACATTTAAACCGGATATTGAGAGCCAAGTCGCTTTACAGACGTAAGTACGACCTGGACGCCGGGATCGATTTTATTGTGAACCAACTGCAAGGGCCTGGGAAGGATCACGGTTATCGGTGGATGTTTACAAAGTGCAAACAACACGGCATTCTGATCAAGAAAGAAGACGTCAGGATCCTCATCTCTTTACTGGACCCAGTAGGTTCCCAGGTTCGCCAGACCAGACGTCTCAGAAGGAGGCAATATTTTGCTCAGGGGCCTAACTTTGTGTGGCACATAGACTCTTATGACAAACTAAAGCCATATGGGATATGTATTAATGGATGCATCGACGGTTTCTCACGCAACATCATTTGGCTGCGGGCCGCACACACTAACAGTGACCCAAAGGTTATCGGAGGTTACTTTGTGGAAGCAGTGGAGAGTCGTGGGGGTTTCCCCATGGGCACTGAGAACGTGTTGGTCAGAGACCTCCAGCATTATTTACGGAGAAATGACGGGGATGATAGAGCAGGAGACAGAAGCTACATCACAGGAGCAAGTACCGCCAACCAGAGAATTGAGAGCTGGTGGGGAGTGATGAGAAAAGAAGGAATCGAGTCATGGATCAAGCTTCTAGGAGAACTGAAGGACGAAGGATTCTTCTTTGGGGATTTCATTGACAAAGCTCTGTCACAGTTCTGCTTCATGTCAATCATTCAGGTAAATGGCCCATATTATGATAACTAGTGGTGGTAATTAATTACATTAAATTACGCTGTTTTAGCAGTAAGGGTAACAAAATAATCGTTTACATACCGTAGTTAAAACGACATTACCTTTACCGAACGGTAAATGCAATGTATTCCTAACGTTGTTGAAGTATGTCAACTGTATGTGCGTAATGGAGGCTGAAGCATCAACCCAGCCAAAGTTTTTAAATCAGGGAACACTTTGCCAATTGAACTGATCAGAAGTCAGCACGACTTAAATGGTTTTTTTTCTGATCGGAGGACATTATCCTTGTCTGTGCTCATTCTGCATCAGTTATGCTGCAGCTACCGATCTGTCGCTGCCAGTCTGTCAAAAGCAGTCAGAGACTTCACGCATCAGTAACTCTTCAGCGCTCTATCATTGGTACATTCAGGACTCAGATGATATTGGATCCCCTCATGGGATTGAAAAATATTGATTTTGTCACCTGTATTATGCGCATAAAGTTGAAAAGCTTTGCGCATCCGGACCAAGATTAGTATTAGTATTAGTATAAAGCCCAGATCCCACAACTCAGTGGTTTGCCTGGTGTGGTTCTTTCTTTTCTTTTTTTGCAATCACTCCCTCTTCCTTTGGTTTTCATTAAACTGCATCCAAACATTGCTGCTTTTCAATTCATTTAAGGATGCACCACGCTTATTTTCGACCATTTTAAAAATGCCCTGTATTACAGCTCTGACCTAATTCTTGTTTCTTCATCAGGAGGTATTGAATGACATCCGCAGTGTTTGGAATGCTCACCGTATAAGGCCCTCATAGAATAACAACGTGCCCTGTGGGATACCTGATGTCATGTACATGGCCCCTCACCTTTGGGGTGCAGAAGACTCTTGTTCCACTGACAGAAGATTTGGCCTTGTGTAAAAATAGCTGCACTTTTGTTAGTTCAGTCCCATGTGATGTGCAAGTGTTTGATTTGTGCACAATAATAATGGAAGAATCAAGCTTGGAATTCCCATCTACCATGTCCCAGGCCCTTGATTTATATTTTCATCTCAGGGATACAGTTCGTTCACTGTTATTTGAGGCTACTTAAATGGACACAAACATACAAATGTAGTACATTTTGTACTTCAGTACGTATTCCTACAGCTTAATGTACTTATTATTAAGTAATTGTTTTTCTCCAGTCTGTAGTTATCTTGTCTTTGTATCAAAATTATCAGAAAAGACTGTATAACATAATTTTCATTTTATCCATGTCAGTAAATTAACTCATCATGAAGTGTTGCTTGCTCTTGGTAGCTACAAAGCGTGGAGTATTAAAGTAAAATATGATACAGGTTAGAAAAAAATAAATCCTTTTGGGATTGAGTTAAACTTATCACACTGTTAAAGCATCAAAAGTTGTTCATAATAGTTTTTGGTAGCAAAAATGTGTTCATTTCTAACAAAAACAAGAGCACCTTGGATAACAACCACATAGACTGGCAATATAGCTAATGTTGTGATCAATTAGACAAGAAGACCAAGTAGGCTAAAGTGTAGAATCATAGTTGTGTCACCAATGCTCCAAATGTTTCTTGAGCCTATATTTTTGTTATTGTGGAATAGATTAAAGCAATCCCATGTTTGATAAAGAACGGCTTCTTTTCTTAAAAATCATAGCACGTGTATGACATTACAGAATGAGTAGTTAAATAACTTTCAGCGGTGTCATTAGACATGTTCATGCTTAATAAAGATGTATAGAATGCAACAGAGAGGACAAAGTTTTGTACAAATGAGAATGGTTTACTGGTGTCTTTCAAAATACACCATACTCAAAAACAGGTTGTATTTTGCATATAATAACAGGATAAAATAACAGTTATTTCTAAAACCTCTTTACAATGTAACCAATCTCTGTAATTAAGAACTTTTCTTCTAAACCCATTAGGAACATAAAGGTTCACATTCTTGTTTCTATTAAGATTTCTGCAAACATCTGAAATACTTTAATATAGAACATGCTTAATCAGTTGGAATATGGTATTTGTAATGGTGTTGTACTTATGTTTGTATATACAGTAGACAGCACTCAGCAATCTTCCAGTTTGTAGAACTGTTGCTGTATGCTATATTGGAAATATTTGTTACTCTTCCTGTAGTAAAAAAGTATTAGAATGTTAAAATTAGTAATTTATTTTGGCACTAACCAGAAACACAGTAACAATGTGTGCAGCAGGAACAGATGCACTTCTATGTTTAGTGTACGGATTCCTGCCAGGTGAAGCACTGAAAATTAAAATCATTTAAATATGTATATGTATTTTCAACTGGTGTTGTTTTGTGGTCTCATTCCCCAAGCAATTTGTTGCCTTATTTTGTCCCCAATATCTAACTGCTGCTTCTGCAAAGTCAGAGTGCTAAGTGCTGTCTACTACAGGCAACTCCACTTCAAATAACCTGAACATTCCCTTTAGCTTACTATTTTAATTAGCGGGAGAAACTAAGAAAGCAATTACTGACCAGATGAAAAAAAAGGCTGCACATGAAAAAGGCACAAGGGGCTACACTGTTAAGAGAACTTAACCACCCAGTCTATTGAACATTCACATTCATTCCTTCATGTTACTGTTAACTACACCCGTGTTTCTATGAACTGTAGGGCAGAGTGCCTTGAGGACCAAGGTTGGGTAACACTGACCTACACCACATCCATCACCCACATAGAGCTTGCGAGAATGCTGTTAAATTCACTGCAAAAGTCTGGTTAGCTGTGATAACCAAGGGGCAGCTTTAGCACACATCCACATGTGTGGGATTGTGGTCTGCGGAGGAAATCTGTAGTTTCTATGAACTCAATTAGTATGGCTTTATCCAACAGATTGGATCCTGTACAGAACCGCAGGAAAAGCTGAAGATAATTGAAATCAATTTCTCCAATGCACCTTTTCAGGTAACGAGAAACTGTTGACTGGGCAGCTGTCATCTCCTCTGGAAAGATTAGAAGCTCCTTCACTGTTTTTATAGTCGGGGTTTTTTCTGCTATGAAATGATGCAGTCCTTCTGGTGGGAGTAAACCAGCTACAGAACCCACAACGGGACGCCAGCACTTGATTACAAACATTGGGGCCTGAATAAGTACTTTGTGTCCTATCTGTGCCAAAACAGGGAGCAGTGTGTCCTTGGTAGGAACCTGCTTGCACTCATGTGCATCAAGTACTTCCAGCAATTCATCTGTATCCACTGAATTGAAGTCATCCAAAGCCTTCAGGAGAACAGATCGCTCTTCTTGTGAGACATACAAAAGAAAGGAATCTTTTAAACTACTGGTTGTCGAGCCGTACAATATCTCCTCCAGAAAGGGTATTGCAAGCTTCACTGGGAAGTAACCAGCTTGTTTCCACCCTACAACAAACACTCTAGCTATAGCCTGCCATTCTTCACACTGAAAGTCATGCCGGATGAATGGGACTTTCACCTCAACTCCCAATGTGCCGCTGTCATAGAAATCCATCCAAAATTCTGTCAGGCAGTCCCGCAAAACACCACTTCCTTCCCCCTGTTCAAGCTCTCCATTTGGTAACAACATTTTGATATTGACCTCAGATGAAATAATGTTTGAGTCC